GTTTGTCTGTCTTTCTCTCTCTCTCTCTCTCTCTCTCTCTCTCTCTCTCTCTCTCTCTCTCTCTCTCTCACTCAATCTTTCTCTCTCTCTCGTAATTCAATACCCTTCAAGTTGTTTAAGAATCGGAGCAAAACTGATAGACACATGTGTCATGACGCAGTGGAATCAGGTGCTTGTCAATTTTTAGGCATATTGGGTTATTGGCTTCATCTTAAAACCTTGCTTTTGGTGGAATAAATATCCATGTATGTTGCATAGTAGAAGTCGAAATATTTACGATTGAAGGAGAGCCTGGTTTCAGAGGTAAAATTAGCGAGAAAATGGCCGCCAAAGTTTGATGATTTCCACAGCTCCAGTGTCCATGGAAACTGAGAATTTACATTTGTTGTTCCTTAAATCAACATTTGTGAAGTGTGCTGACAAAATGAGTTACTTCTCGGATTCAGGCCTTAAGGAAATGGATACATCACACTTATGGTGGAGTTTTTACAATTTATAAGTATGAAATAAAAGGTATGTTATACGTAAAGAATATGGCATCAATAGAAAATCTACAAATTTGACCCTAGTGTCAATTTTTGGCTAATATCTCCATTTGTGGACTGCGAGAAGTAACTCATTTTGTCAGCATGCCTCACATTTTTCTGTAAAATCGGCACAGAAATGTGTTTTTAAATGGACGTAAAAGGTGTTGAGCCAAAAAAACAACAACAACAAAAAACAATTTTAAAAAAAAAAAAGCCCAACGGACAGAAAAATGCCAGTTTCTTCAATTTCATTACTTTGACGAGCGCCTGATTTCATAATGATGCCTCATATAACAATTAATTTTATGTCATTTTTTTTCTATCTCGGTGGTTCCAGTTTGCCAGTATTTTGATGGGCCTGTCCAACACGTTTGCCACATTGCCCGGTATTGTCAGTCCGTTGTTGACCAGTGTGATCGTTGTCCATGAGGTGAGTCTTAGTTTAGTTTAGTAAGGTTTTACAGCGCTCCCAACTGCATAAGGTCATATGAACGCCAGAAGATTAGAGGTGTTACAAGAGAGTAACAAACATAAAAAAGAAAAAGGGGAGATAAGGATAATAGATGTTTGATAGGAAAGAAGGAGCAAACCACACCAGAGCACCCGCCAACTGCCCACTTAGTAAGGTTTTGCGGGGCTCGAAACTGCATAAGGTCATATGAGTGCCAAGGGGTGGACTGTTTTTTGTTTTAGTAAGGTTTTACGGCACTCGCAACTCACGGCGCACCGGCAGTGGAATTTTAGTTGCCGCGGGGGGTTCCCCGCCGGGCGCCCTATCACGTCGGGGTCACGGGGGTCAGCTCC